ATGTTCCATAAGGAGCTTGAACTATTAAAAAAAAAAAACAAACCCCAATCAGTTCAGTCCACATTCTACATTTAAAAACAGACATTCATATCACAATACATTAAATAAAAAACAAATGAAAAGATAAAGAAACAGGGTAAATGTAAACAAATGGCAGACAACTTCAAACTTCAACAGCTTGTTTTGTTCTACAAACTTTTAACTTTCATTTTCTAGTAGATATGTAAAAGCTTTCTTCCTGTGTTTCCAAAATTGCAAGTTTTCTCTAGTTAATAATTTAAAGAATTGGGATGGGGAAATAATAAAAGAGGTAAATATACTAGATCTAGACTCTGTTCCTATGATGGAAACAGTAGTCAGGGATAAAGTAAACAAGTTATATGGTAGAAGTATACAAGATGGATACCAGAAATTAGAAAATACTCTGTAAAGATAAATAACCTTTTGTTGAAATTAATGAATCTTCATTATGTTTAAATTTATTAGAAGACTTTGAAAGATAATCCTGCTAAACACCCTGAAAGGAATTGGTGTGTTAAGATTACTAGGAACTTAACATTTTAAAATGTTCATCCAATATATCAGCATCTACTTTCAAGTTTATTCTGTTACCTAGTTTGAAAGGATTTCTGATTTTCTGTAAAGCAACTTTACTTACATGTAAATACTGTTTTACTATACTCCTCTTCACTTCTTCAGTGATCTTGGAATTAGCCATATCACTCCGCAGAAAATCCAGAGTCTGTTTTGGATGGAAGTGCACTCCTGTCTTCCTATTTATCGCTTTATCATAAACTTTTGCAGATTCAGATGGAGAATATTTCTGAATTTTACTGTTTAAGAAAATCAAAAGAGAAGAGCTTTTAAGGAAATTCCAAAGCAATTTCAAGGAAAAGCTTTTAAAATCTTCATTATAAGTAGTTATATTTTAATAACTCCGTATACAATAGGTATCCTGGTAAGAAATGAAATCGTTGCTTTTTCTAAGGTAAAGTTTCATTACATTCAGGTTTATGGGTTTTCCTTTATACAAATTTATTGCTTTAAAAAATGATTAACAATCAACTTTAAAAAAAACCCAACAGCTACCAAACTTAATCTTTACAAAGAACTTACTAGACAACAATATGGCATATTATCTAAATATTCTTACCTATCAGAGAACCCACAGAGGTTCTTTAAATGCTGTTTCAGCATCAAAAGTAATAATATGCCTTGGGAGACATTTGCAAATTCAATTAAAGGAGCTGAATTTTCTGGTAAGCATTTCATCACAGCATTTATATCATTTTCTTCATCAGAATCTGAATCAGAGTCTACTTGTTTCCGTAACTTCCGAGGCTTAGAAGCTTCCTCCTCACTTTCACTCTCACTACCACTGTTGCTGTCACTCTCAGTCTCCTCGTCTGATAAAGGCTTTCTTTCCTTTTTTTTGTCTTTCACCATAGACTGCGAGACAGAGAAGTTAAAACACATTCCAAAATTAAGGCAAGTAGCATCATGTATGTTTCTAAAAAAATATTTCCAAAATCATTATTGGCTTAAATTACCAAGAATTCCCTGAACAATGTTATTAATTCATGACTTGATATTAAAAGATTAAAATTATTTATGGCAAAAAGATGCTGATGCTGAATTATACCCAAGGCCCCTGAAAAACTGATCCAACGTCCACATTTTTTTGCAAGGTGGTTATAGAAGGAACTGAAGCAATAAGTACTCCACTGGCATGTTATTCTTAAAAGGACTGCTCAAGTTTGTTAGTAGAGAGAGTAAAATGCAACAGAAGGTCAAATACAATAAATCAGGAAGAAAATTCCATTTTTGTTTCACCTGAATATAATTTTTGCATGTTACATATATTTCCATATGTACTTTGGTACAGACTAGTCCAAGCTGGGTTTAATCCTTGTCTCTGTTAAAATTCTATGACACTAATTATACTGCTGACCACAGAAACCCTCAAGTCATCATATACAGTATTACTAATAAGTAGTTCTACTACTTGTAGAGATACAGAATTTCACACTTACATTATTACTGTACATAGTATGACTTTCTCCATAACAGAACTTAAGATGTCCCAAATAGTATCTCATCCTCTATGTACTGGTGCTACACACTGGCAACCCATCTAAAGAATGTATCATCTCTTTCTAGCAGATTAAAAATTGACTTTGGTAGGGTGAGAATTCAAAGCAATGTAGTTTCCAGGTATTACTTCTGACTTGTACTTACTAGTCAGATTGGACGTTCTAGAAATGGATTTGTTTCCTGACAGTTTGGACGTTCTACTGTTAAATTTGTCCAAGAAATGAAGACACTGAAGGCTTTAAAAAACAGAGGCCTTTTTCTTACAGGGTTGTATATTACTATAACAACAGATACCCCATTATTTGGGTTCTTACATGCTACCTTAGAGAAAAGACATATTGTGCACTCTTTTCTTGTAATAAACAATGTATTTAAAGTCTAGGTGACACACATGCAACTGCCATCAGCTACTTGACAACAAATGAAACAACAAACTGGATTTTATTATTAAAATTATACAAACAACCACAATAAACCAATATTTCATGATGATTCTGGGTTCCTGTACTTCCCAGATGCATGCAAGTAGTATTAATTCCAATTAATTCAACAATATTAGGAAATTATATAGTTTTAATATTAAGATAGCAAAATTTGTCATTCTTTTTTAATAACATATGCAGTAATGTAAGGAAAGTTTTTAACTAGTCTCTACTAGATGCAGACCAGAACAGAAAGGGTTGTTTGTTTTTTAACTACTATTTACAAAGTAATGCTACTCATCTATATCATAATAATGGTACTGTATTCACTAAAAAAATGACCAAATTATAGATAAGTTTATGTTGCCACCATAATAAATATACTAAAATACAAATGGACATACCTCTTTAAATGACTGTAGTAGGTTGCTACCAGAAACTGATAGTGTAATGTCTATGTGATGCATTATAAACAGTGGCTCCTCCTGTGTTTGATAAGGAAAACAGGCTAGATTGTCTGCTATGTACAAGAGCATATTCACCTCTGTTTTCTGGAAGTTAAAAAAAAAAGTACATATAAATATACATACAAATATCTTGGATTTATACATTCATCCTGTGTTCCTAACAATCTAGAGCAAAAACATGATCACAAATTTTATTCTACATACTCCCAAAACCCACTCTAAACAACATGTATACATGTAAAGATTAGTCATACCTGAAGATACATTATTTCTGATCAATCCAAACTGAGTACAGAAAGGTACAGAATGATGCAAAAGTAACAAATGCATTCTATTATATAGGTAAATATTTTATATTGCAAAGCAAAAAAAGTACCTTAGAGAAATAAAGTTATCAATAATTGTCATAAAAATACATTATAAAAGGAAAATTTAAGATTGTAATGCTATATTTTATTTTCTCTTTAAGTGAAGGAAATGTGATGCTTACTGCAGTATCATCAAAGAGGTTGAGTAACGAAATTAGAAAAGCTCGTCTGTGTTGGCGGTTCCCTCGGATCATGGAGTATAGGTGTGAACACAATGCATTGGAAGATTCATCATGTCTAAAACCTCTTACAGGATCCTTTGGGCAGGTATTGATTGCCTGTTGTACCTGGTAAGACATCTTCATACCAGCCACTGCTTTCATCTGAAATGGAAAAGTATTTATTTTTATATAAACCATTGCTTTCAATGCAGTAAAACTGAAAGTGTAAAATTAAACAAATGCCTGTCAACAGAAACTGCTAGCTCATATTTTAGCTTATTTCCTTTTAAGTGGATATTCATCTGAAGTTTAACTTTCAAACATGCATTGAGATGCACTACTACCTTTTGAGTTGGCAAACATTAAAACAGAATTTGTGGTAGAGATCAAAATGTCTTGTGAACTGCTTTTACTGTGAATTCTATGTTAGACACATACAGCTAATCTGTTTACTTACTGCAGCCAGGTATTGCAATTTAAACAATTTTCAAGAATAATAAAATGTTTTCATACATGAACAGAATATTTTACCAAATGTGTATGCTTGATGTCACTTGTAGTGAAACCAACAACTGAGTCCATATTAGTACAATAGGACTGACAAACAGAAAAAGAGGTGGGTTTTTTTCGTGTTTTTTTTTTTTTTTCATATATTTTGTAATTTCCATCTGATTTTACTTACTTCAGGGCTCCTGCTCTAGTTTCAGAACAAACAATCTCTAGCTAGGCTGCATATCCAACTCTCCTCATGCCAGCTCTGCTTCTGTTCAGTGTAATTGTCTCTTCATCTATACATTGTCTTAAATCCCAGCTTCCTACATAGCAAATTTCATCTGCTAGCCTTCACTTACTGGAATAAGTATCTGTTTGGATGTCATGAATGGTGCAATGCTCCAATTTCAGTGGAATACAATCAGATTTGGGAAGTCCCACAACATAGTATACACACTGAACTAAAACTAGGGCCTTCTGAAATGAGGACAGGGTGACTGTAATTCAATTTCAGTTCTTAAGCAGAACTAATGGCACTATGCCACAACTCCACAAGACCTCACTTAACCTTCAGATTTTCCTTTCAGCAAGATCCCACAGTTCTTAATAACTTCCTATGTTACTTCTGCTTAGATTACAATTTATAAAGCCTTGATGCCGTAACATTCTAATACATATACACTAAGGACCTCTACGTTTACAAGGTGTTCTCTTCTCTAGTCTACTGATACAGGAAAATCATTGCTAAAAACTATGAAACAGCTGTCCTTACCTCTTATCAAATAAATGCTCTTATGTACTACTCAGTGAGAAAAACACTACTGTGAATTATAAATTAAAGGAATTTTTAGACTTGAAGAGATGCTTCAAATTATTATATCCTTTTGATTTCTAAGAACAGAAATCTCCAAAGAGAAGAAAGATTTGGAATCATCTTTATAACTGGTTATAGTTAATATTTATTTGTTACTTTATATTCTTAATCTGCAGCTGAGGTCTATTCAAGTGTTAAGTCACCAGAGAATGCAACAGTATTTTGTAAAATGATAAATTAGTTACTTACGTGAATGAACCCAGCATATTTTTTGTCTATTTCCACCAACTGCTGGTCAGCTTTGTTTCGCATAGAGGGCTCTGGATCTGTGCCCATAGCAATTAAGTATGGCACACACTTGAAAAACAAATGAAATTATTACTCAGAGTCACCGTATCTCCACTTTCTCACTCTTTGTTCTTCTATTACAGTGTTGTTCTTGTTATATTCTGACTACTGTGGAAACTAAAATAGGAAGCTCTATGCAACTTACTACCTGACTACTTTTTGCGATCAAATAGTACAAAATACACAAAAGACCAGCATTATAAATGATAGAAGTTGTGTGAGGTTTCAGGTAGTATTTGAATTTCTGTCAAACTCTAAAGTTAATTTACACTAAAAAAATGCCTTACAAACAACAAATAAACAAATAAACCACCACTTATGACTGAACATACACAACAGCTGTGGTATAAACAAATAATTATAAAAAAATGCAAGTAAAGAATAATGGAGATGACAACTGAAGTTATGACATTGACTCTGGAATTCCATAGTGTTTGAAGGACATGGGGATTGAGGTGGAAGCAAGGTAACATAGTTTTCAGGATAAAGAGTCAAATAAAGAAAACAGCTTGAAACTTATAACAGAAATATGCTCCAATGTACATTTGTAAGGGCTTTTTAGGCACTGGCTGAGTTTTTACATCTTGATCCAAAGACAAAAAAATACAGCATTTGGAATCTCACTGCCTAAACAACATAAAACAGATTTCAAAATATGCTTTCTGTAAAGGCCCCTTACTACAATAAGAAATTACTGCAACATAGCTGGAAGAGAAAAACTAGGAAGTGTAGAAACCTCTGACAACCTGAAAAACAGAACCCCCCATCATAAAAGCCTACAATACCTGAACAGGATGGATGAGACCCTGGTTTAATGTCAGTGCAATGACATTTAGAGCAAAGTGGCGTACAGTGGACTGGGTATGAAAGAAAGCTTCAAGGACCTGTTTGAGATATAGCTGCATGATGGAACTACTCATCCCTGAGGAAATATCACCCATTTCTTTCAGGTCTTCCTGCTTTGCCACTTTTTTCCCTGTAAAAAAGACAAAAGCAGTAGCACACTCACCGGAGTGTAATAATTTACTTTGCCATTACTTGATGTGTAATGATCTTTAAGCTTTACAATACATACACATTTCAGCTGTCTTAGACTGGGTTTATGATCTCATGAAACAAAACAGTGATGGCAAATATACTTCAAAAAACTAAAGAGACGGAACTATAAAGTCTTGTCAAAAAGTTTTAATTTTTAAAATTTCTTATTTTGAATTTCATATTTTGCAACTGCAAATTAACCTTAGAGAAGATTTTGATAAAAAGTATTACTACCATCATTATAGCAATGATGCATTCTGGATTGCTTTCAGGATTTATACATCTTCAAAGTAAATAATAAGCTACACTTCTCAAGATACATATGCACATAATGAATTTTTGAAAATTATTCTAAGACACTTTGTGTACAATATTATTGATTAGATAATAGTTTAAGTGACTTAGTTCACATATATAGTATGCAAGAAAGTTAGGTTTTGCATGCCTCATTAGCACAGAACTCAACACTTACAGTCTCTGTCTGCCTGCTGCATACGTGTATCCTCCTCCTGCAAGTAGGTCTGGAGGTTTTTTAACACCTGGATTTTTAAGTTTACTGAACAGTTCTTATCTGAAAGAATGCTGTTGTACAGAGTCTTCACTTCCTGTTCAAACATTAAACTTGGGTGTTGTATAAATGCAAATCCTAAGGGTGGAAGAAAAGAGGAAATATTCTATGTTATTATTTAGAAATTGTATTACTGCTTTTCAAGTATTTCTTCAAAATAGAGGTATAAAATTTATCTATTCCCAACAGTATAGCTTTTTCTAGTACAAACCATATTGCTTTTTCATATGGACACCATTCTAAGCTTATAAGGATTTCTCTTAGCCATGACAGTTCTATTAGCCATGACTCTGATAAAGATGGGGTGCTGATCCAGGGCAGTTGCACTAAGAAAAGTTATACAGAACTGGAAGCATGTCCAGTGTACTGGTCTGCATCTGAACGACTAGGAGGTCTCCCAAAAGCAAGGGAAGAACATTGCTAAAAATTACCCAATGTTTTTCTAATACATTTGGAGAAAAATATTCTGCGGAAACTGTGAAGATTTATTCATATGGAGGCAGAGCAAATGTAGAAAATTTGATAAATATCATGAGTATATATTAAAAAAAGTCTTAAAAGAAAAAAACATAGTAAACACAGTAAAATAAAATTTATACCTCTAACTGTCATTATTCATATACCTATTAAGGTCTTCTCTTGAAAACTATCTGAAGCATCCCCAAGACTACATCTGTTGGAAGATATACACTATAGAGCTGCTTTTAGCTGCAGCCTTACCCTTGACAAGGAACTGGTTATTCTTAGTCAGGGAAGTCTTTTATTTCACAAGAACTTTGATCTAAATTAGCAACAGTATATATTATTTTAGATCATGTATGCAGATTTAGAAGTGCTGCTGACAAACTTACAGAGTATCATAAGAAAAAAAAAAAACAGTAATTGGAACATAATTTCCCAATTTAAACTATGTTTAATTAGTTGATTCATTTTTTTAAGACTGTGAGAAAAGCAGACATTAAGAGCATTTTTCATAACTACAGGAAACTAAGATTCTGAATGAACACACAGAAAACATATAAACCTAAAAGAAGAATGGGGGAACCATGAAAGTAAATAAAATTATGCAAAAGAAATGTATAAACGTGGCTATAACAAGGGGAAGACTGAGTCAGGTTTTTTAAAACTGGCTCTGTGCACACAGAAAAGACAGTGTAGGTAAAGGCTAAGTCTAGGGCAAGACCTCAGTGTGTTTAAGATCTCATTTCAGTCTCAAAACAGGAAGAGGAGAGAAGGCAGGGGAGATTTAGTTGAAGGAAAAAGGAAAGATGCTCCTCTTTGGAGTATGTAGTATAACTGCGCACTCTGTACAGGTGTATATTGATGTTTATAACTTGATCACCTCTGAGAGAGTTCAACTCCTTTCTTAATTTTAAAAATGAAATGCACTTGCATGTATGTGTAACAATCCATAACTCTTTCTTTCCTTCATTCACTTACTTAAGAGTCTAACCCCATCAGTATTCTCAGGGAAATTCTTATTTTTCCTTCTCCTGTAAGTGGGGAAGAAATCTTGCTTGGCATAAGAATTTGTCATACAAGATGAAAAAAGGCATCTGCTGTGTTCTTTTAAGTACTGACTTCACATCTTAGGGCTGCTCTTGCACCACTTCTCTTCAAACCTTTGCACTCTGTTAAGAGTAAGCACTGAACTTGGCTGAGTGAAACATTACTTGTTAGATACGTACAGGTTTACCTAAATTTACTAACAAAATTTTGTATTCTCCATCTGTCTTGCAAGTACACATCTGGAAGAGAAGCCATAACCACTAAGCTTATAATTAAGCTTAATCCCTCAACAGCAGTGACACATCCCAAAGCAAAGGCTAAAACTGTTGAGTGTCTTTACTGAAAGGACACACTAATAATCACTGATAGGAAAGCATACTCTTCATGTAATAACTCCACTGTATATAAATATTGAATTAGCTTGTTAGTCATTTTCATCTTGTTGCTGCACACAAATGTTGAATGGATTTGACAACTTGGCTCAGTTACCAGACTTTAAGGTAGAACTTTGCACTGCCTATCACATCTCTGTACATCCAGCAGCTACTTTCAAAATGGAACCAGTACTTAAATGAGTTTAATATATCACTGAAAACAATTGTCTGAGGTTTAATTAAAATAAAGACTGACATGGTTATGGGCAGAGAAAAAAAAATAATCTGAAGAATGCCTACTGATAGCCACCTCTGTTTTCTCCTCTTCCCCCAAACTGATCACAGTTCAGTCTGTAATTTAGAAACATTTTTGACAAATGAAACATTCTCAGCATCCATGAGTAAAGCAATCATGTCTATGGTTAGGAAGACAGCCCCTATCCCACATGCAATATTCTGTAGAGGACAATTAAATTAGAATGGACTACAGTAAGTGTTGTGCATCTTGATACTATGCCTAGAAAAACCTCCAGCTAGTCCAGAATACTGTAGCATTGCTTCTGCAACAGAGGCAACTCTAAGCCATTAATCCCACTAAGCTGTCTGTTCCCTCACAGAATATCAAATCAAGATTCATTCTCAGTCCTTATCCTCAGAGTCCTCCCTAGCCTGAACTGAAGCAGGATATCTAAAAAGCCACCTAAACAGCAGCATAAGGAGGCAAATTCTTATCTATGGTTACATCATACAATGCAAGCTCACATGCATGGGAAACAACTTTCTTTAGACTAAACCATAACCATAAACTGAACTCTTTCAGAAACCAAGGTCTATCTGCCCAAACAAGATTCTCTCACATGTACAGTTTTGGTCCTTGAGCAGAGGATGAATGTGATACAAACCACTCAATGGTACTTCTTGCACTACTGTAAGTCACTGAGATACAATACTAATGCCTTCAGATAAAGAATCTATTTAAAATTGAAATACTGCCAAAAACCCAAAACAATCTGTAATATTTAGACTATGACATCATCTCAATGCCTCGTGAAATCTAACAGAGCATCCCTCAATTAGTATAAACTGCTAGAATTCCCTTGACTCCTGCAGAATATCTGCCCCTACACTGAAAATTCTCAAAGTTTTTACAGCATTTTTTCTAGTTATTCTTTAACCATACCTTGTGGACTGAAAAAGAAGATTTGGAGTTACAACATACTTGCATGTGGAGAAAAAAGAACATCACCATTACTTTAGAAACCTGATACTTTTAAAGACTTGGTCACACATCAAAAAGCAATTCATTGTCAAAAGCATCCACTGTGCTGCAGAAGTATGCAGCTTCAAAGTATCCCTTTGACTACATTTCTATAGCTAATTCTCAAATAAAACATGCAGTGAACTTTAATTTTAAAAAACTCCCCTGCCACTACACAAATTACTTC